GCGCAAAATTAATATTATTATAATTTTTATATACAATATATAATATATAGTAGAGCATTTGTGCATAAATTAAAATTCAATCTATTATTCAATTGTATTTAATGATAGCATGTTTTGTTTGTTTCTCGCAATTTATGGCTCGGATTAGAGCCACAGTTCACAAGACATGAGATTTTTATTGACTAAACATAACGAAAGCCAATATTGAGAGTAGTGTTTAAATTGAATGCGAAATTGAGTTTAAGAATAGTTTAAGGAAATGAATTTAAACATTTTAATTGCTCTGAAAATTACTGCTAAAACGAGTAATTAATATTTATCTATAATAAATAACACTCTATAAATTAGTTGCTATTATTTCTGCAATTAAATCGATTTCATTGTGTATGCAATTAATTACAAATAATATTTTTATGTTAATTATACCAAATAATTTTGCTCATATTTGTACGCAAAATAGGATTTAACAAAATTTTTATTAATTTCAATAATATATTGTTTGATATCTTTATTAATACAATAATCAATATAAAATAAAAAAGTGAGTAAAACCAACAAAATTAGCTGAAAATTGATTTCAGAATTAATTAATTATTAATAATTTTATTGATTGATCGTATCATCGATTCGAGTCAATGGTTTCGTAAACTGTTTTTTCTTCTTACATATCAGTCATGAATGCAAAACCAGTTCTAATCGATCGATAATTCATTAGAAATTAATGATTGGATTTGTGAGCACTTTATTGATCCAACAGATGATACACAACAACGGCAATCAAAAGTCAATTTGCGGCCAAACAAAAAAGCGATAAATGTTTGGCTTTTTATACAAAATATGAATATCAGAATCATTTTCATTAGGTATTTATTATATTAAAAAATAATTATAAAATGCAAACTATTTGGTGTTCACTTTTTTTTATTTGTTACGAAAAAATTCAAATAAATGTTTAAGGATTTGAGTGAAAGCCTATCACTTATGCCATAAATACACTCAAAGTTGTCAAGATCTTTACATTTGAGAGCAATTCTTGTCATTCCTTTCATATTTATCTTCTTATTTCTGTTCAATAATTAAATAAAGTTTTTATAACAAATTGTTTATACATTTTAGGGTTAGAGAGACTAATAAAACATCAACCCATCAAATACTTTACCAAAAAATTATTTGGTGTAAGAAATTTGTTGCGAGAAAAATATTAAGTGTTTTTATGTCTCATGCGAATAGATTTCCCGTAAAATACTGTTTCTTGAGATAAATTTCAAATTTATAGCAAATATTTCACACACAAACAAAAAAGTAAACTTTTATTTTACAACAAAAATATAAGTTTCAAATTTTTATGATAGTGTCATTTCTCTCAGTCGTATAAATAGTTCATAAATTTTAACGAATAACTTATTCCTTGTGATTGATTAATGCCTTTTGTGACTATACTTATCATTTGGTAAACAAATAAAAACTATTCAAACAGATTATGGGATAAAATATGAAAAATCAAAAACAAATCGTTAATGTAGAAATATATTTATTTTGTAATACATTTCTTTTTAATAATCATACAAATCATAATTCTATGATTTATACATAATTTGTATACAAAAAACTTTATTTTCTATTTTATTTCTCCTAATGATGTGCCGTAAGACTAATCGTGTGCATCGTTTGCACACAAATAATAAATGCATTTTAATTAACATTTCAATTCAATTTATAATTTCAATTCAAATTCAAATTTAATGGAAAGGTATTAAATGGTTGGAAATATAGTACTTTTCTTATAGTAATTCAATAGCACTTCCTTAAGAATGTGGGGAATGCTGTGTAAGGGAAGGGTGTCTTCTTATGAGACATTCAATTACCCCTCACTTGAGTATTGTGTCTCAAATGTATCGCATATAATATATACAAATATTGAGTTTAAATAGTTTTGCCCACTTTTTTCGATGTAATTTAATTGAAGAGAAAACACGAAATATGTGGTAATGATCGCATAAATTCATGTTTCATTTCATCAAATTACTGTTAATATGCCACTAATTCAAGTCTACACTTGAATCCAGGTATAAGTTTCTCTCACATTGATCGAGACTTTTGTTGCTAGCGTCTCATACAAATGACTGCATAGTTATGTTCATTATATCCCACATTCATAATACACTACAAACACTACATTAAAGCGGATAATTGGCATAAAATGTAGTTTGAGAGAAAAACTGATACCTTTCCCTTGACACCACATCTCATTGAACATTAGATTTATGGGGTATTCATACGTGCCATCCATAGACTGACATCTGATGGACAGGTATGCATCAGACTGGGATCGGAGCGGTTCGCCTGAAATGTTACTCCGTTTCAAAGCACTTGTTTTGTATGTTTATGTGCGGACAACATGTTTGGCGCCACTAATGGCTAAAAAAGGCTACAAAACCCATAGAAATGCATTGAATGTATGGATGTATGCATAGAGTAGTGACAGACCTATCGAGCGCTCATTTAAAGAGCATTTGATTCATCAATCAATTCATACAATGTTTGCCTTAAATTCAATGCATTTTTCGCACA